ATAACCTAAAAAGTAAGGAAAGAAATACTTAAAAATCAATTAATCAACAGCAGTATTGAATGCTGACCCCTTTGAAACATAAATAATCTTACTCAGTTTACCACTCAACCATATTTAATGAGCACAGCAGAGTTCTCTCGTGCTGACTGCCTCAGTTTGGGGATATGTTTGTTGGGTTTATAACTATTACAAAATATTTCCCCTTCCACAGAGGAGACACAAGTCTCCTCCCATAACGTAATTCAGTCTGAGCTAAAATCCTGTATTTTCAAATTTTAAAAACATAACTAATTTTATAGTTGGCACAGGAAAAATCTTTTTTTCTTTGCCCTAATTCTACAGGGCAAAGAAAAAAAGATTTCAGCCACGCTATTTACCTGACCTCTCTACTGCATAGCTCAGAATCAGGTCCAAAACTAAACCCTTGATTTGTCACATCCCAAAACTGTTCTTTTCCCCACCATTCCCAGCTCTAATAAACAGTCACCACCCCGATCCTCAAAATAGAAACTTCAAAATCACCTTGGATTCTTTCTTCTTTTCTTCCCCCATCCCATCCAATGCCATCACTAAATCCTGTTAATATGTACACTTCTCTCCATCACTGCCCCACCCTAGTCCAAGCTAATACTGAACTACCCTCTTCACTGAACACCTTGCTTCCACTCTTGCCCTCAACAACATAATCTCCAAATAGCAGCCTGAGGATGGCTTCCCACTACACTCAAGTCAATTCTTTTTAATGTACTAGAATTACCTCACAGGATGATCTCTGCCCTGTCCATTTCTCCTACCCCATCTGGTATCACTCTCATTTCCCTGCTCTACAACTCACACTGCGTTCCTTCCTTTCAGTTCTTTGAATACATCGAGTTGCCCCACCCCCATCCCACTCCTATCCTCAGGAGCTTCCTTCACACACACTTTAACATCTCTAATTTCCATTGTACTGCAAGTTTATTTTTGCTCAGCAATATGTACCCAGCAACTGACTTTAAGTCTGGCACACAGTAGGTATTCAAAAGGAATGAATGAATGAAGGAATGGGAACAGAAAATAAATTTTAATGACAAACACCTTCAATAGTAAAATGGAAAACAATACAAAAAACCAGGCTCAATGAGAGGAAATTCACAATAAACCATTTTAAATTAATATTCAAGATGGACACTCCTAAGCAAACATAGATTCTTCAGCAGGGCTCTTAGGAACCAATACAGAGATTAACAGAAGAGTTTTGAAAACTGAGCACAATGTGCCTCTTTTCTGGTTTTGACAATCTGTTTTCACAGATGAACTTGCTTTCTTCAATTCCATCTCAATGCAAGCCAAGAAGCAGCCCATAAAAGGAATATGCAAATAGTTAAAACACTAAACAGAACCTAAGATACAAATGTGCTGCCAGCTGCCCCAAATAACATAAACAATAAATGCCTCCACATCACTAATTCCTGATATGCAAGGAAATAGACAGGGAAGATTCTAAATTCAAGCCCTGAAACATACTAAAATCATACCACACCTGAGCTATTGGTCTTCAGGGGATCAAACTAAGGATGCTGCTTCCCTCCTGACCCCATTTCCCAGCAAACAAGATGCCAGATCTGAAGTATGGTAGTTGCAATTCTGACCAACCCTGAAGTTCTATTCCTGCATAAAAAGCAGTTCAATTTTCTCCAGTGAGGTTTTTCTCTTTTTATCATGGATCTCAATTCCCTGTGATTCATCGGTAGCAATAAGGTACCATGTGATTTGTCCAAAATTTCAAACCATCTGATAGACACTGTAGATTTACTAGGGGTAAACTTATAAGACTCACATAACAAAGATCAATTTTTCATTTCTTGGGGGCTGAAATTAAATCAATTTACTGTGGTTACATTGGTTATTTGATCAGTATTCACAGCTATAATGTCTTTGATTAATTTCCTAAAATCTCAATGTATGAATGAAAATGAAAATGCATTCTATGGTCTGCATACTTATCTCCAACCTCAATTCATATGTTGAAATCCTCACCTCCAAGGTGATGTGCCACCTTTAGGAGGTTAATTAGGTCACAGATGTAAAGCCCTCATGAATGGGATTAGTGTACTTAAAAAGAGCCCAAGAGAGATCTTTCATCCTTTCCTTCTACCACGTGAAGACACAGCAAGAAGATGCCATCCAGGAACCAGGTAAGGGGGCCTCATCAGACACCCAATCTGATGGCACCTTGATCTTGGACTTCTTAGCCTCCAGAACTGGGACAAATAAATTTCCGTGGTTTATAAGCCACCGGTGAAAGGTATTTTTGTTATAGCAGCCTGAGTGGATTAACACATTGAAGACAGTATCTTTCAAAACATGCGTCAACTAGACAAAAGTAATTTTAAAGTGTTCTTATTAAAGACAAAGTTGAAATTTCCTGAAACATTTTAGAGTATTCAGGAAGCAAAACTACACTCTAGCTTTGTGCAAAAGTTTCCAATTAGAGGGTTGTTTCTTCACTAATATCAAGACTGCAGGGCAGCAATTTTTACTGTATTCCCATCCTTTATAACTCAAAATGTGTTCACCTTAGTTGTCATTAAATAAAGTTTAAAAAACAATTAATTAAGTCATACTTAAGTCCAAATACAGACTCATCCAACAAGACACAAACATTCACTCCATATTTTGAGAGGACTATATTTTAGAAGAACTGATAACTAATTTAGCAAAAACAAAGAAAGGAAACCTTGTTCTAAACACACACTCAAAGCACTCAAGGCTCCACTCCTAGAGCACAGGACCTCCCAGGGACTTTTTTTGTAACAATGCTAAAGTGCTTCAGACAAGCAGAGAGATGGAGAGACCAGTCAGCATCCACACCGGTTTGTCATTTCTTCTGCTGCCCTTTCCAAGCATGCCAAACCATAGTGTATTATTAACCAGAATATTCTTATGTCTTGATAAAAGCGTTTTTTGCCTTGAGTCCTATTATAGGAGAACTAATAAAAAGCATTTTCCCCTGGAGAAACTAAGACACGATGAGATTAAAAGTGGACAAAGTCGTATAACTGGTGACTAAGCAAACTAAGCATAATTCATACCTCATTCTTAATTCAATGTTCAATCTACCAAATATTCCATATTTGCTATTCTATGTGTTAAATGAAATGACCTTAATATTTGAGTTCAATGTAACAGTAGTTTACAATTCTATACTCTTAAAATTATTCTGCATGAAGTGTACTATCAACAAAAGGTGTCTAAGTGAAAAACACACAAGTCTTTAAAATCTAGTCAGACGGTTTAAAAAGGAAATACATTGCCAGGCGCCATGGCTCACGTCTGTAATCCCAACACTTTTGGAGGACATGGTGGGCAGATCATGAGGTCAGGAGATCGAGACCATCCTGGCCAACATGGTGAAACCCCCTGTCTACTAAAAATACAAAAATTAGCCAGGCGTGGTGGCACGTGCCTGTAATCCCAGCTACTTGGGAGGCTGAGGCAGGAGAATTGCCTGAACCAGGGAGTTGGAGGTTGCAGTGAGCTGAGATCCGCCACTGCACTCCAGCCTGGCAACAGAGTGAGATTCCGTCTGGAAAAAAAAAAAAAGGAAATACATCAATTATTATGATACTATTCACAATCTCAGAACACTTAAATTCCGTGCAATTGTCAATGTAGGGCTGAGCACTAGAGTTTCTGGGTAATTTAGGGCTATACATTGTTGCCTTTTGCCAAGGGTGGTCCTGAGTTTTCCTAGTTTTGTATCTTCCTGGTCTATATGCTGACTTCACCTTAGCTGCGCTGCTATACATAGGTGAAATCACAGTGATTGTACCTAAGGAGACCATGAAGATCATACGGAAGCTTCTCAACATGAAGGACAAATAAGCCCAAGTCTTCCTCTCGTGAAAGGCTAAAACTTCCTTTATCAAAACTCACAACACTACCACTTTTACAAATCTGGGGTCTCTGAAAGAGTTACTTAAATCAATTAAATTAACTATCATATAACTTCAGTAGCTACTCAAAATAGTCTTCCTTTACTGGCCCTGATCAAGTAACAAAGTTTTCCATGGAGCTTAATGGTTCCTTTTAGATCCTTGTCCATGAACTGGTATTGCACCCCATGCTTACCACCCACAGCTCTCACCACCCCACATTTCCCCCTCCACAAAAAGCTAATAAATTTGCATTCCTGACTCTGAGTTGTATAACTAAGAACCCAAAGACTAACAAAACTCTTACATATGACTAAGCAAAATGATCTAATCAATGAACAGTCAAGAAATACAAATGTTTTTAAAAGTAAAATTAACCATCATGAAAACAGGGTATGGTGAAGGGGGAACTACAGCTCTAAACACCATCCTTGTAAGTTGCTACCAAGAACCCACATTTTTCTTTAAAGGCTGAAAATCAGCAGTAATAACCCAAAACGATCATGCACAAAGGTGGTCTTAATAGAGTTATAACCAATCTTGGCAGTTTTCCACATATTTTTTCTCCTTTTTTGATCTTTTGTTTTACAAAATCGCGCTTGAAAACTTTTACAATTTCTCTCTGGAACCGATTCTGAAATGAAAATGGACTGTAGGTAAAAAAATTTGAGAACCTCCTTAAACAGCAAAAATCACTTCCCTAGCCCCTCCACTGGTAAGAATCACCAAAGTTTTTACAGTGACCCCCTCCCTCTCAGAAACAAAAACAAAAACAAAATGGCCCTTGAAGTTGGACAATTTGGTATATGTTACATTTAATTTTGTGCTTATACTTAATACCTCAAGTGAAGCAATACAGAGCCCTGGATTTCAAAAATGGAAAAAAGAAAAAAACATTTCCCCTCATTACAAAGAAAATCTATAATCATAATTTATAAGTCATCAACGAAACGCAAATCGTGTGCCACCCCGTCTCTGCCCGGTCAGTCACACACACGCCGCCCCGCCCCCGCGCCATCAGTCACACGCAGGCTCGCCCCATCCTGACTCCCAACCCCGCCCCTCGCGCTGTCAGTCCCTTACTCTGGCCCGCGGCTGAACCGGCGGCGCTGACGTCAGCTGGCGACCGCGGCCGCATTCCTAAACAGTTCAGACAAACCCACTGGTGGGAAGCTTCGAAAGCCCTCAGCTGTAGTGAGGAAAGCAAAGGCTTGGCTGGCAGCCAGACTCCTGAGCTCAGCATTTTGTAATGCACTTCCTTTTTATTTAACAGCTTGCATAATGCCCTTAACCCTTCCTTTACCTGCATCACACCTTTAACCCCTTCTTTTCCTGGTCGAACTTCAAAGCAAACTTCAGAACTCAGTCTCCAATAAGGTTTTAATATATTCCTCACCAATTTACAACTGACTGATTTTTAATACTGCTGAAGAGGCAATTTAATTAAACACATATGCTCCCCCTAAACTGCTTACTGTTTCCCCCTTAAAGCAATGTTAATTTTCAAGCAAAGAAATTAAAACAACGTATTTTAAAGCTTTTTTAGACCCCTCCTTCATAATTTATCTTCTTGAAATTATTTTCAAGAGACAATAGCTTCAACTGGTCCAAAACAAAAGGGTACACAGTGACAAAATCTCCCTCCAAACTTGTCCCTCAGTTGCCCTGTTCTCATCCCATGATAAGCTGTTACTTCTCTTGTATTCACCCAGAAGTATTTAGTGATACATAAGGAAATACACATATATTCTATTTTCTCCTTTTGTAAATGGTAAACTCTATATACATGCTGTTCTCTACTTTGCTTCCTTATTCTTTTTTAGAATTGCATGGAATTCCACAATTTAGCAGTCCCCTATATATGAGCATTTAGGTAATTTCCCATCTTTTTGCTATTACAAATAATGCTGGTGTGAAAATCTTGTATGACTGTCTCTCTAGAATAAATTCCTAGATGGGAAATTGTTACATCAAAACAAACACATGCATCTGTAATTCTGAAAGGTACCAGCAAACTGCCCTCCACTGAGACTGTACCTTTTACCCTCCCATCAGCAGTGCAGGAGGATGCCTATTTCCCTCATGCAAATCAGGCTGTCCCAGAATTCAGATAAGAGGCTCTCTCTCAAGCTTATTTTTAGAAAACAGATCTGTGAAAAATTGTATCTTAGTGTAGTCTTAATTTACATTTCTCATATTGTGAATGAAGTTGAGCATCTTTTTATATATTTTAGGAGCCATTTGTATTTCTCTGTGAACTGTTAAATCATCACTTTTGCCCATTTTTCTATTTGTTCATCATTTTCTTACTGCTTTGTAGGAGCTTATGTTTTTAGAAAAGCAGCATTTTGTGTATGATGACACTTTGAAAGGTCTTTTTAAAATATTTTAAGAAAATTAGCTCTTTGTGACATGATTTGTGAAAATTTTTTCCAGTTTGGTAAGTTCATCTGTTTCATGGTTTCTGCCACAGAGAAATGTAGGGATTTTTATATAGCTGAATTGTTACCAATCTATTCTTTCATGGCTCTTGGTTATTGTTATTAGACTGTCATTCCCCATGCAGTTTGTAGAATAATTTTCCAGTGATTTCTTCAAATATTTGTATGTTTTCAGTTTTACCTTTCAATATTTAGAGTCTGTACTTTTTTTCCTAGATATATATCCACTAGTTCCAACACTAACTGAATAACCTATCTTTTCTCACTAATTTGAAATGCTACCTTTATCCTATCAATAATTTCTCTTATGTAAAAATGGGGCTCAGAGGAATTTTATGCTGCGCTTATATCAGTGATAATTTTAAAATCTGGTATAAAGTAAAATGTTTTCCATGGACAACACGATCCAATTTCAATAAATAAATTTCAGATTTGTGGAACTGTGCTTGTTATTTTTAAATGAAACTAAATCCTTTTTAAGATTTCTGAGAGCCCGGGCACAGTGGCTCACACCTGTAATCCCAGCACTTTGGGAGGCTGAGGTGGGTAGATCACCTGAGGTCAGGAGTTCGAGACCAGCCTGGCCAATATGGCAAAAGCCGTCTCTACTAAAAATACAAAAATTAGGCAGGCATGGTGGCGGGCGCCTGTAATCCCAGCTACTCAGGAGGTTGAGGCAGGAGAATTGCTTGAACCCGGGAGGCAGAGGCTGCAGTGAGCCGAGATCATGTCACTGCACTCCAGCCTGGGTGACAGAGTGAGACTCTGTCTCAAAATAAATAAATAAATAAATAAATAAATAAATAAATAAATAAATGATTTCTGAGATAAATAATAGTATCATATGCCACCTTTAAAGACTTAGGCTTTTTGAAAACAAATATCCACTCAGAAATATTACTTCTGGGGCTGGGCGCAGTGGCTCATGCCTGTAATTCCAGCACTTTGGGAGGCCAAGGTGGGTGGATCATGAGCTCAGGAGATCAAGACCATCCTCCTGGCTAACACGCGATGAAATCCCGTCTCTACTAAAAATACAAAAAATTAGCCGGGCGTGGCGGTGGGCACCTGTAGTCCCAGCTACTCGGAAGGCTGAGGCAGGAGAATGGCATGAATCCGGGAGACAGAGATTGCAGTGAGCCGAGATCATGCCACTGCACTCCAGCCTGGGCGACAGAGTGAAACTCTGTCTCAAAAAAAAAAAAAAAAAAAAAGAAGAAGAAGAAGAAGTATTACTTCTAACCAATTACGACAGAGATTTTTAGTCTTCATAGACTTCATATAATTACCAGAAAGATGTAAAATGTTGAAAACATTGTTAAAGCAAAATTTTGATACAGACTGTAGACAACTTTGCCTTCTAATACATTCTTTAAGGCAAAATGAGTGAGGAATGAGGATGATCTAGTCCTTTCAACTAATTTTTACCTTTCTTTCAATATCTGTTAGGAATTACTACACCAAGTCCCTATAAAATTTCTAGGCTTTGGCTGGGCGCCCGTGGCTCATGCCTGTAATCCCAGCACTTTGGGAAGCCAAGGCGGGCAGATCACGAGGTCAACAGATCAAGACTATCCTGGCCAATATTGTGAAACCCCGTCTCTAATTAAAAATACAAAAATTAACTGGGCATGGTGGCGTGCACCTGTAGTCCCAGCTATTCGGGAGGCGGAGGCAGAACAATCGCTTGAACCCAGGAGGCAGAGGTTCAGTAAGCTGAGATTGTGCCACTGTACCCCAGCCTGGGCGATAGTAAGAGACTCTGTCTCAAAAAAAAAAAAAAAAAATTCTGGGCTTTACATTTATGTAAACCATCATACTGATAAACAAGCAATATACTATTAATATATTAAGTATACAAATGTTTTCAGCTTTAGTAGATGTTAAAAGACAGCGATATGCAATAATGATCAGTTGCTGAAAAGAGCAGAACCAGTTTTGAACAGCACCTCATAAGGTTAGGCAGGTGGTTCCCTAAAGAGATAGCAAAATGACACAGACCTGCAGACATAAAGTTTAAAGTTCCTGTGTGTTAATGAGGGAGGCCAAGACTGGAGGGAAGAGAAATTCTGCTAAAGCACGGAGAAGCCTCCAACCCTGAGATGCAGAAGACCCTAATATAGCTCAGGCTGTCTACTGAATGACAAGGTTATCATTTATTTCACAGTAGTCTCAAGCCCCAGACCTCACAGGACCACAGACTATATATATAAAGAGAAAGTCTTCGAAGGTATTTTCTTTGTGTGATACGTATACATGCACATACATATTTTTAAGGTTCTGAAATATAATTCAAATAAAAGACTTTAATCTTTCAAATAATATGTGGTGCTACAATTATTTTTATGGAGTTACTCTTTTAAACTCTGAGCCCCTTTCCATATAGAAACTATGACACTGAGAATAAAGTCCAAACAGAAATGACTTTCAAACTCTTGACACTCTGTCCCTAATCTACTCTTCTACTCTTGTGTTTTACAGAGCCTACACTTTGGCCTCATGGAAGCAAAGCCTGCTGTTTTTCAAACACGCCTGTTGTCTTTGCTCAAGTTTTCCTGTATCTGGAATATCCTCCCAAGAACAGAAAATACCAGTCTCTAATGCAGATCTTCTCTCATCTTTTAAAGGCTCAGCTCAAATGCCACCTCCATAATTTCCTCCTCCTCTGAGGAGTTAGCCCCTCATAAAGTCTATTAGCCTCTCCATGATGATAATGGTGGTTGTGGTGAAGAATGTAAAAGAGAAATGCCATCAAAATATATTTAAATTCTCACTAATACAAAGATGAAAGAAACTATACTCCACTAGACAGGCCACTACAAAGAAGAAAAATGTAGATCCTTTTTATTTTAAAAATCTAGTTAAGACATCCCACTTATGTGAACAAACTATACATTTTGTATTAATCCCATCTTTGGGGGTTGGAGGTTACCAGTATACCCACCATATGTACAAACACAGCTTTCCATCAACAAATTGAAAGGAATATAAAAGAAGACAAAAGTTAATATACCTTAAATATAGCTATTATAGCAACTAACCCCCACAACAGGATAATTACAGTTAAGTTCAACTGGTCTCTCACTCCTAGAAGCTCTGGCTGTTGGTTCAGGAACCCTTGGTATTTATGGCCCTATTTGTCATATTGTAAGCCCAATCATTTCTGCTACTGGTATTGACTCCTATAACTTAGGACCCTGACTTCCAAAGGTTAGAGTGGGAAACATATCCTACAGTTCTCAAATCTAACTGGGCATCAAAATTACCTGCATAACTCAAGAAATACACAGATTCTCAGGACTCAAGCCCCAGACTTCCTTAAGTATAATAGCTAAACATGGGGCCCAAGAATTGTATTTTATAAAAACCAAAAACCAAAAGACAAAAAAACAACTCTCCCTCCCTAGGTGATTGGGATGTTTGGAAAATGAGAAGATGGGGCAGAGCCATGAAAGGAACAAGGAGTCTAAAGGAGGCGGTGAAATCCCTCTCCTCTCTTGGACTTACCTTCTCTCTCCTACTTCTCTCCCAGCAAACAAAGAGGCAGCTACTGGTAGAAAAGAACAGCAAGAGCAAAAGCTATAGCAATAGTGGCTATAGAACTTTTCTCTTTAAAGTTCATCTTCCCTCCTCTACCATAAGGTCCACTGCCTACCAACAAATCCTAACCAAAGACAGCAAAACAGGGATGGAAGTT